GTATCCGGGATAAAAAAAAAAAGATATTATGATTTGTAATAATTTTCTACATAGTAAATTTTATGATATTATGATTTGTAATAAAAAAAAAAAAAACCACGACTACTTTTCCGAATATGTGAAGAGTTGGATATTTTGTCATCTAAGAGTTGCTCGTTTTGATTAAAACAAAAAGAAGACACCAACAACAAATATCACAATTTCATCTTTGAAACTTTCTTAGATTAAACAAATGTGATCGCTTCCACATGTGTTTAAATACTGTATTAGCTTTTAGATGGACTCCTTGCTGCTGCAAAAGGCCAACTCTGAAACCAATGCAATGTGATCGCTTCCCCATTTCTGTAACAAAACCAGAAATATATCAAATTTTTTTAAACAAGTTTCATAATCAATCAGTATAGCTAAATAATGAAATTTAAGTATCATGGCTCATGTGATTTTACTGGAGTTGGGAAGCCTGGTGTCCACTGCATTGCTTGTTTCGTTATTGGAGCAAGCACGCGCACCGTTTGGAGACCTTCCGACCGCCTAAACCCAAACCAGAAACAAAACACCAAAAATTCATGGTAATGTAAATCTAATCTCAATGTTTGTTACAAACGGTTTTGTTTTGGGTTTGAATGCTGTTTAGTACCATATGTAGTCAACTGTCCCCATGAAACATCTGTGATAACTCGTCACTACAGGTTCTCCGTTTTCATCTCTTGTGTTTGCTTGACCCTAGTAACATATTATAAATAGCTCTTTACTTACAAAATTTAGTTTCTCAAGTAACACAAGTTAAACGGACAAGAACTGTAGGGAGGATATATTACATTACCTCAATTTCCGAGTAAGTGCTTTTAAGCTTCATTGCGTGTTCAACCGCAGTTCTTTCTGGGTCACCTGTTGCAGTTGCTATCTCCATCGGAGTCCAAGAGGACGGATTATATGTGATTTTCTCACTGTTATAAACTTTAGAACCCGATTTAGGTGAAAATTCATTCACAAGTTCCTCTTTTTGACTCAAGTCAGTATTGTGTAGCTTAGCTAAAAAGGTTTCCCCGTCTTCACCTATATCTTCTTCGTCTTGCGCGAATACAACTGGTTCGTCCAATGTTAAGCCATCTAGTTTCATCTCAGCCAAAGTGTCAACCTCAGCGGAGAGACTAGATGAAATATTTTGCGCACTGGACACAATTTCCTCAGGAGAATGCTCTGTTGCTGATAAAACAGAACTTGCTGAATGTTTTTCTCTCAAATCCTCTTTAGCATTGGAAGCATAAGGAGGTTTTGGATCTGATCTGGTTACTGAAGAAAGATCCTCGGAGTCATCATGTTTTCTGTTTTCTCTTCCTAAATTACAATCTGAGGTTTGATCTTTACCTGGTAATACTCGGTCAGAACTGGAGGTGGCTTCGTCACCAGTAACAACTGTATCAGCACATGGAAGCTCAGATGTGTTTCTCGTGGGGGGTTTTCCAAGATCCATGTTGGAGTTATTCTCCATATGAGCATTTGCGCTTAAATCTGGTGGTTGAACTTGACCTTGTGGAGATTTATTGGCGGTCTGAAACCTAAGAAAAATTGAGTAGGCCTGTCAACCATATAGACAATAAAAAAAAGGCAGAGAAGAGCACGACATTCGAGGCAAACATGCAAGAATACATAATGATGTTCCAGAACTTGGTTAGTTCAGGCTCTACCTCATCGTATAAATTTCTGGTCTTGGTGGACGAATTGTAGCGGAATCTTGCCCGGAAATTCTGTCTCTGGCCAAACCAGACAAATCCAACTGCAGAGAGAAGCACAAAATTATAATGTGAACCATATACATAATGTTGCTAATAGGTGAAGGAACTGCCTTTACCTTCTGCTCCGAAATAAAGTTGTACAAATGACTCTACAACCAGGCAAAAGAACGTTATTATCCATTCACAAAGCAAGTGATTTTAGGTATATCAACTGGTTAAGGTAAGAATGTTCCTACCTTTGGTGTACAATTGAAATCCCCACATATAACAACAGGAGCATCATCCCAGAGTTTTGAAACAGCATGAGCTTTCTGTAAGAGTGTTCTGACCTGTGCAGCAAAGAAAAATACATAGATGATGACTGCCATTAGGTATCCCTTCAGTTATGAATGCAATGTTTGATGAACTATCTCAGACAATTAACGCCTTTTACATGGTCATAGGCTCATAGCTTATAGACAGAATTGAATCAGTGTATCAAATTGTCATTGGCAATAGATATCTACAAAATGGAATATGGCATAATGGAAAGTACCTGACCAAGTTTAAAGTCTCCTCTTTTAGGATTAAAAAGCACGTGAATATTACAAATGACAACTCGCCGGGAAGAGCTGCAAAAGTAAATGGCAATTCACTAAAACACAACCATAAATTATACTCATTACATAACGAGAAGTCGAAAACCACTGAAGAGTGAAGAAAATAAGCCACATTTCCTAGTGAATGGCAATTATCTATCCCTGAAATAATATGTTAGTAACATTAATTGATATCATTAGGTTACCTTTCAGATGGAGAGACCTCATTTTCTTTTGTTTGTGAATTCGAAAGTGTCTACACAGAGCAAATTTAATTTAGGGAAAAGAGGCAAAGTGATATAAGTCACTATCAACATAAGGTATCCATATTACCTCAAGCACACATATCTGAGCAACATTATCCCGGAGACCAAGTTGATTGAATTGGATGCTTTCCTCGTGAACCAACTTGAATCTAATACGATAACAATGAGATCCCAAAAGAAAATTCCACACAGAACCACACAAGGAAGAACAAGGAAATCAAACCTATTTGATCGCCAAAATATTGCACATCCGTCAACAGCATTACCAGTCCGCATCTACAGTTTTATACAGTAGAGTTAGCCCCACATTTGAAGTCTATCTATCTCTTACACCTTTGATACATTCCATTCAATCTTTACACCAAGAGAGTTGATGGAGAATACAAACTCAAGACCACCATTTTTAAACAAAATAGTTGATGCAGGTGATGCCAATTCTTAGAACAAATATGTTACCTTCCAAATGCCGCTATACCCCCGGGGTTTCAACTCCTCCTCTAAGTCCTGAAATCTATCAACTTCCTGACATATGCAAACTAATATTAGATTACTCTACATAAGGAAGATACATTCAGTACATGATGGAAACGAAGAAAGCAAAAATGCTTTGTCTCCTAGATACATAAACAATTGCAGAAACTATAACCTGTAAGCACATTATATCTGCAGACCAAAGGCCAAGCTCGAACACTATTTTGCTCTTTCTCCATCCCCAACTCAACATATTCCTCGGTATGTGAAAGTAGAGACTTCTCCAGTGATCATTTGCAAGGTAATCCGCCAAAATGTTATACGATAAAACAACAAACTTCTCTGCAGGAAACAATGAAAACAAATCAAAACACTAAAAAACAGAGAGAAACTGTGACGTTTGAAGTGCAAAGAGAAAGTTACCGGACCCAGGAGACGGTGCCGTTTTTGCATATTCCCATTCTCGATAATCCGACGGTTTTGACCGTGGCCGTTGACGAAAGCTCCTCTGCGGAGGCGGCCGAGAGATCTGGTTCTGATGATAGAACGGAGGAGGAGGGCAAGCCGCGTAGCTTTGATTCGACGGCGGATATTGATTAGGTTGATGAAATTGTTGCCATTGACCTGGACGACGAGGATCGAGATTCGAGGAGGAGACTCTGTTTCCATGGCGGAATTCGCGATTGGCGTCATGTACTGATTGGAAATGCGAGTCTCCGGTGACGAATTGATCTCTTCCTCCGTCGTTGTACGGACGATCAGAGAAACTTCTCCCTCCACCTCGGCCTCTCCCTCGGAAACCTCTGTACTGCTCCGTAAGAGACCAAACCCAATCTCCCATTAAAACAAAAGCAAAAGGTGAAACCGTATCAAGAGAAATGGCTTAGGAAAATCTTACCGGAGAGCGATTGGACATGGCGACGATGGGAGAAGAAGTAGTGGAGGCGTTAGAGATTGCAGCGTCGGAGAAAAATTGTACGACGAAACGAGAACGACGCATTGGTCATTCGAATGGCAGTGAGAGAGAGAGAGCAAACGGAGGCGGTGCTTAACTGCAGAGACGAAGAGTCAATCCGATGAACGGAGACTACCAGAACCGCGTGACGTTTTAAGATTCTAGCAGTAGACAGCTCCCTGTCTTCACTGCAAATAAATGGCACGAAAGCTAAAGCGATACATACCGAGACGCTTTACTTTCTTTCTCCTTCTCGAAACCGTGGAAGAGTGATCGATTTGGCCAAACCGAACCAAACTGAACAGAAATAAAACAATATGGTTTGGTTTTTCATGTCAATCGTTACATAAATGATAAATCTTAGTCAAATATGTACTATGTTTCTAAGTCAGAGCATTGATATTAGTATTTTCGATGTTCTAATGATTACAATTTCCAAACATAAAAACTGAAACCCGCTAAATTTGAAATCAAACCAAACATAATTATGGATTACGAGTTTAAAACCAAACAAAGGCAAAAACCGAGAATATCCAAGCTGAACCAGACCAAAATATATACTGAATATGGTTTTAATGCAGTAGCTATTTTTTAATATAATTTAGTATGCTTTTTTTATATATATACATAACCTCAAAATCTATTTAGCATCATCTCATTTGATCAAAACCCGCATGCCGGGAATAGGGTGGAATTATTATACTGGATCCGAGATCCGATCTGTTATCTGTTCGGAATTGCTTCGAAAATTAGGATATCTGGGGAGTCCGGATCCGGATAAATATAGTAAAATCTAGTATCCGTGAAAAGAGGATCTGATCCGGATAGCAAAATTTTAAGGTCCGGATATCCGGATCCGGACGCATTAAATATATTAAAAACATAGATATATTAAGCTATTTTATATAAATAAATATATATATGATTTTAGTTTTTTTAATAATATATTATATTCATTATGAAAATATCATTTAAAATATTAACTAATAATTTTTAAAAGTATATTTTTATATATTTATTTATTATTTTAATTATTTTTAATATTAATTTCGGATCCGGATGCGGTTCCGGATATCCGCGGATGTCCTGATTTTTTGTCGGATATCTAGAGTCCAGATATCAAGAGGTCACGGATCTGGATTCGGATACTTTTATCACAGATCCGACGGTTCCAAATCCGGATCCGAATATCCTGAAATTCTAAAATATCTGGAATCGTCCCACTCCAAGCCGGGAGTACATATAATCGTTATGTTTGCTTAATTTATGTAGAGGCTCAATAGAGCTCGCTCTAATAAAAGGTTATGGTGATGATACCTTAGAGCATGTTCATTGGGGTGCTCTCAAGTGTGTTCTTAAAATATAAAATTATTAAAATTTGAGTAAAAGAAAGAAAGAGAGTGTTTTTGTGGGGTGTATTAAATATAAAATTAATAAAATTTGAGTAAAGAGAAAAGATAGTGGATGTGTTTAAATATAAAATTAATAAAAGTTGAGTAAAAAGAAAAGAAAGTGTTCTTAAAGTAGTACTTTTAGATAGTGTTCTTAAAGTAATACGTTTAGATAGTGTTCTTAAAATGAAGTGAGAGTATTTAAATATAAAATTAATAAAAGTTGAGTAAAATAATGAAAGATAAAGTATAAAGTTGAGTAAAAGAAAGAAAGAGTGTGTATTTTAATAATTTTATATTTTAAGAACACATTTGAGAGCAACCCAATGGATATGCTCTTACAATTTCTTTGTTTTAGGTGATGCTCGAAGAATTGATGCTAACTTTCAAAAAGAAAGATTAATCTCTTTTTGTGTTTTTTTTTTCGACAACTTTTTATCTCTTTCTGTTTTGATTGGTTTCTAGCCGTAAAATGTTTTGAAGGAGGTTGATGTCGGTTCCAGTTTTAGGTATATTTTTAGTTTCATAAAATACATTTGTTTAGTATTCATGAATTGAAGTATTAAGATTTGTAACGTCATAATAACTCGATTGTGTAACGTCCAAAATTAAGATTTGTTTCCTC